GATGGAACAACAGATGATGGAACAACAGATGACAGAACCTCTGATGATAGAACCACTGAAGACAGAACGTGAACTCAGCGTTCTTTAAGCAGTGACTCTCTGTCTCGTATGTTTGTTTAAACTGCGGTCACACAAATGATTTAAAGAGAAAGGATTGTCCGACGCAGATAGAGGTTGAGACCGGACTCTCGTTGGGTTCACAACACATTTTTGAACTTAACAAGAAATCTCTGGACGTTAAAGTCCTGGCTCCCCGGTGGAACCTCAAAGATCTGTAGCACATTGAAGTACCTGCTAATGGAAACTATAATGGTTTAACGTTTCAAAGTTAGGGAGCCAACAGGCGTAGAAAATAGATTTAAGTGTGAACAGATTTGTAATTTGTAGTAAAGCCGAGTCATTGGAAGTTTTGAGCTTGGTGTTGGTCCATCTGTTTCATCAACCAAACCCAAAAACACGAAAGCAGAAAGCGTCTTTGTCTTGTTTGTTCTTTTGGTACCGGGGGGAAAAGTCAGGCCGTTTGGCATTTCCTGGTTCTGCAGGTGCACAGAAGGATATGGAAACAGACAACTTCCCCACGGCCACTCCGGTAAATAACCAGGACTTTGATGTCCTCTGCAGCTCCTGAGGATGGTCTTTAGAGCTTTTTATGCTTCGGGTGCCTCGGAGGCAAACAGCTGCTGATCTGAGGGATTAAGCAGCACATCAGGAAAAATAAAATCCTAATCTGCTGGTTCTGGAACCTGCGTTGCGTAATCCTGAACCTCGGTCTGTCGACTGGATGGTGGATTTGCTTGCTTTGTGACCCGCTGCTGTTAAAAGGAATCACCGTCTGGTGGGTTTGAAGGCTCCGGCTGTGCTAACTATGCAGTTTGGTTGTGAGAATCTCCTCGCTCCGTCCTTTTACAGTCTTCCTGCGACGCCGTCCGAGCTGCAGACCGTCAGCAGTCAGCGACCTGCCACGGCCTCACTTAGAGCTAACGCTGTTTGTCCTCCGTCTCAGAAAAACACGAAACTCTTCAGCCTGAGGTCTCATCTTCATGCTGTTTTTATCAGTCAGTGGATCAGACTTTGGTGTTGTAGCATATTTCATACACTCTAAATGTAGCTCCAGGTTATTTACAGTGATTCAAAGAAAATATATATAAAAATAATAAACAGAAGCGTTAAAAATACCTCCCAGGTCTCATCTCGTCCTACAATAGTCCTCTGAGCTCAAATCACTAGATTGGGTTAACTGGGTTAGATCCACATAGTGGAACACCAGTTATTAGATTTTAGACTCCTACTTCCTGTGAGTATAGTTAAATATGGCTGTGATGTAAAAAGATAACACTAAGAATGCTGTTTAAAATACCTAAAACCATCCATGTGACAACCCTTTAAAATGTCAGTTTAATTAGCCTAATGCTAACCATCATGTTTGTCAGAGCTCACACCAGCCATGTTGTTTTAACTTTTACATCCTCGTGAACTTTATGTCTAACTTCAAGATTTTGGATTGATTAAGTCAAGCAGATATCACATATTACCCACAATACATCATGAGAATATTCACCCTACTGTCAGGGATCCAAAAGAAGCGTAGAGACAACAGTGTTTGTACGAAAAACTGGTTTTAAATCCAGATGATACCAAAAAGCTTCAAACCTAAACTACATCTAAAAGTCAAAACAAAAACTTTAGAAGTCTTGTTGTGTTGTTCTATTATCATGTTCTGATACAAGTCTACGTCCATGAATATAAAACATTTTGCACACATTGGGCATGGCAGAGTGTAGTCCAGTGATTGGGGTGATATTCAGATCATTAATCCAAAACAATTTAAAACTGACCAGAATCTACCAACAGCAGCTTCAGTTCTAAAGTGTATGCCAGTAAATACATCTTTAACACGGAGGCAGCTTTCAGTAAAAAGTGGATGGAGGAGGAGGGTACGATGTGACATAAGGTGGGCTTAGTGTGGGCCAAGGTGGGTACAATGTGACATAAGGTGGGCTTAATGTGTGCCAAGGTGGGTACAATGGGACATAAGGCAAACTTAGTGTGGGCCAAGGTGGGTACGATGGGACAAAAGGTGGGCTTAGTGTGGGCCAAGGTGGGTACGATGTGACATAAGGTGGATTTAATGTGGGCCAAGGTGGGTACAATGTGACATAAGGTGGGCTTAATGTGGGCCAAGGTGGCCCACATTATGGGGCCATAAGGTGGGACATAAGGGGGGCTTAGTGTGGGCCAAGGTGGGTACGATGGTACATAAGGTGGGCTTAGTGTGGGACAAGGTGGGTACGATGTGACATAAGGTGGGTTTAATGTAGGCCAAGGTGGGTACGATGTGATCTAAGGTGGGTTTAATGTAGGCCAAGGTGGGTACGATGTGACATAAGGTAGATTTAATGTAGGCTAAGGTGGGTACCATGTGACATAAGGTGGGATCAGTGTGGGCCAAGGTGGGTACGATGTGACATACATAAGGTATGCTTAATGTGGGCCAAGGTGGGTACATACTATGTGACATAAGGTGGGTTTAATGTGGGCCAAGGTGTGTACAATGTGACATAAGGTGGG